TAATTTTTAATTAAAATTTTAATGCAGGGACATTTTAGGCATTTTCTCTCTTCTCTCCTCTCTTCTCTCTGCGTCTCCTGACCTCTGTCCCCCGGCCTCTGGCCACCGTCCTCCGGCCACCGTTCTCCGGTGATACCACAGTGGTATCACAATGCATCTTATATGTGATTGGGTATCACACTGTGGTCATTTGTGCGGTCGATCAGATATGTAACACAGTGATATCACAATGCATCTTATATGTGCTTGAGTATCACACTGTGGTATCACCGGAGGACGGTGGTCGGAGGCTTGAAGACGGGGACAGAGAGAGAAGAAAGGGGAGAGAAGAGAAAATACATAAAATGTCCTTGCATTTAAATTTTAATTAAAAATTACCAAAAATATAAATTTTTTAATTTATCTATTGATTTGTGGTTGAAATTGAATCTCACGGTTATCACAAACTACTCAGTTCTCCCTTGAATAGACCCCTATATATATATATATATATATATAGGAGCGATCAAATAAAAACCGTCTCCATTTGTGTAAACCGTGTAAACCAATCTCACCCATCCATTTTCTTGATCAATGGTTAAGATTAATCAATGTTATTTAAGGAAATTAAAAAAAATTAAAAATACATTTTATAATACCGATAAGGGCAAAAGGATAAAACCAAATATTATTAATGAAATTAATTTATTTTTTGTAAAGTAATTTATTATTTTTACGTTAACATTTATTATTATTAATGAAACTAATTTATTTTTCATCTTGCAATTATTTCATGACGAACCGCCTACATTATGTACCCGTTTCATTTTTCATTTCATCTACTGAAATGAATCACCTACACTATCACTGAAACGAGTTTCACCATGAAAACAGTTCACCACTTATTGTTCAATTACGTCATTAACCAGTTTCAACTTCATGAAACATGTTTCATGTAAATTAGTTTTTTTTTATTTCACTCATGATTTGATGCATTCTTTCCTTTAATCCTTACAATCTTCAAGATTCTGGAGCAGATTACAATCTTCAAGATCTCGAAGCAGATTCATCATGTACCCGTTTTATCATGTAATTATTTTATGACGAACCAAATAAATTATGCACCCGTTTCATGTTCCATTTTTTTTACTAAATGGATCAACTACACCATCACTGAAACGTGGTTCACCATGAAACGATTTCATATTACTCATGAATCAATTACAACATGAACCAGTTTCACCTTCATGAAACCTGTTTCATTAACATTCTTTTTTTAATTTGAACCATAATTTACAATTTCATTCCATAATGCAATACAATCTTCAAAACCCGTTTGCAGATTCAATCTCATAACAATATATCAAATTTAAAATTTTAATATTATAATATAATTAAATATTTAAATGTTACCATTTATACAATTTTCTTTATTATGTTTCCTTAATTAATATTTATAACTTCCATATTTAATAGAAAATATTGTAAATGACAGAAATACCCTTATTGAATAAATTTAATTAGAAAAAAATGGAATTTTCCTATTGGTCGAAATTGGTTTACACGGTTATATATATATATACTAGAAGGGTACTCGCGTAATGCGTCGGAAATACATCTCAATTTTAATGTTTTATTTTATTTTTTTTGTCTCTATCGATGTTATAATACGATTTTATGTATTTTTTTAAGAAAGCAATAATGATTTTATTTTTGAATAAAATATAAATTTGAAAAAAAAATGTCAATGTTAATATCAAATCAACTATTTAAAAGTTCTCATCTTATGTTTAATTTATTTAATTTTTTATTATATTTAATTTAAGTCTAATAATAAAATAATTTAATTTTGATTGAATAATATAACATCATATAAATATAATAATTAAGTATTTTGTTTGAACTCAATGATTATCTTAATTATATTTTACGTTTTTTATATTTAAAATGAGATGTTTATCCTGTATTTGATTATGTTTATATGCAGTTAGTTACACGAATTCAAATATGGAGCTTTAATAAGTTGTACTTACGCACAATCTACTTGTAATCGTGAGTTTTAAGTAACATGTATTCATAAACAGTACTTTATGCATAAAAAGTGATTTTTAAGAGTTTTTGTCAAATGCATTATAATATAGTATAGATATATCTACATATGTATACATGTGTGTATTATACACATACATATACACATGCTTCGACGATCAAAAATACCCGCAACACCATCTCTGGCATCCAAGGCCCTCATTTCCCCCCTCACTACATATCTTATTTCCCCACGACATTTTCAAACCTCCAATTTCCCCACCTTGTTGCTTCTTTATTGAGCACCTGTAAGTGGTAGTAAGATAAGAGATTAAGGTTTACGAGCACCGTTACTGTCAATGCTCATGAATGGCAGGCAGGATGCGTGGCTAGTGGTCGAGATCAATGAAGATTGGAGAGTGGTATAAGAAGAAGGTGAAACGAGAGAAAAGGGGAGGAGAATGATGGTTTTCACGGTGAGGAAGGGTTGGATCAAGATAAAGACGACTCAGAAGAATGATCCAGAGTAGGGCAAGAGGTGGAAGGCGGAGGATAACGCACAACCTGCAAATGGTGGAGTGGTGAGTGGCGACAAGGAGGTGGGTGAAGGGTTGACGAAAGGGGAATGTCGAGGTGGGTGCATTAATGGGTAAAAGACAAAAAAGCGAAAAACCATGCGAAAAGGACAAAAATGCCTTATCTAACATACAATTTTTTACAGAGTTAATTAAAAATACCACTTTAAAAATAAAATATGAATTGTAATTACCATTATTTTACTTAATAAAATTTAGAAACCATAATACCAAAATTTATAGTTTATTCCATTATCTATACTATATAATTAAGCATTTGGTCCAATATCTTAAAAACAACTTTTAAACATTATATACTCTTTATTGATACATATTACTTAAAGTTCAAGATTACAAGTAAATTGTTCGTATGTACAACTTATTAAAGCTCTATGTTTGAATTTGTGTAACTAACTACAGATAAACATAATCAAATTCTGGATAACTATCTCATTTTAAATATAAAAAATTTAAAATATA